AATTTAGTTATTTTTATATATAAAAGTATATATAATAGAGGTAATATTATTAAGAGTAGGGGTAGTATTTAATATAATAAAAGGAGAAAACTTTTTATTTTATTAGTTATTATAATAAAATTCCTTATATTTAATAATAACTATTTATAACTAGTATTAAGTTTATAATTATAATATAGCCCCCCTATAAAAAGACTATAGCAAAATTCACCCTATATATAGGTATAATTCTAGAAATACTATATAGGTACTTTAACCTATACCCTCTACTAATTAAAGAAAATAGTATAGAAACCCTATATATTTCTACTAGTAGATAAACCTTTATATAAAGTTAAATATATACCTTAGTTAAATAAATTAATAGAATAGTAATAATATTAATTATATAGTATAAAGTTAATAGTACTATATATAATAGGGCTAATTATATTAAGGTTAAATAAGTTACTAAAACTTTTATAGCCTAATAATACTACTATATAAGAGATAACTTATTAATTAAAAAGGTTATTAGAAGAGGTTCTTATAACTAGAAGTATAAAAACTCTACGTATAGGGCCTTATNTAACTAAAGAGGTTATTAGAAGAGGTTCTTATAGCTAGAAGTATAAAAACTCTACTACTATGTATAAGGCCTTATACCTATCCCTCTTCCTCTTCCTCTTCCTTATTAACTTATAATAAGTCCTTTATAATATCTATACTATAAGAGATATATAAGAACGCTAATCTCCTATAAGGTACGCCCTTCTATAAGTAAATAACTAAGGGTATTACTATATAGGATAATATCTATATACTAAATAAAGCCTTTAAATTTAGTAAATACTTTTTTACTAATTAGTAGTATATTATTAGGGTAGTAATAGCTAAAGCCTTTATAAATACCTCTAAAAGGGACCCTCTTTATACTATAATTAAGGTAATAAATAATAGCTCTAAACGCCTCTACGTAGAGGCTATATATATCTCTAGCTATCCTAAAGAGTAGCCTTTCTTTACGTAAGCCCTCTATAATACTAAGGTAGAGGTAGCTTAGGCCTAAGTATAGGTATAGGTATAGTAAGGATTAGTAAGTACGCTTTATACTGAATAGAGAGAGCGT